CCGGCGAGAGCAACGGGTCCTCCTCCAGCCGCAAAGGTGGTAAGAAGCCATGGATGTCCCACGGGCGCACGCACGGGAAAGATGGGAATCAAAAGAAGGAGTCGACCAATGGCAGGCCGATCCAGTGTTCGAACTGTGGGAAGGGCTACGTCCAGAAGCAAGGAGTGGACTTCGAAGAGGTATTTGCGCCAGTAGCAAGGTTAGAATCCGTTCGTTTCTTGCTGGCAATTGCGGCACATTACTCTTGGGAGGTTCACGATATGGATGTAAAGTCTGCTTTCCTTAACGGAGAGTTGAATGAGATCGTCTATGTTCGACAACCACCTGGCTTCCTAGACAACGACAACCCTAATAAGGTACTGCGCCTGCACAAAGCACTCTACGGACTTCGACAAGCCCCACGAGCCTGGAACGCGAAGCTCGACAGTACCCTTCTGTCACTGAAATTCAAACGTTGTACCTCTAAGCATGGGATGTACACGCACGGCCACGACAAGAAGCGACTGATTGTGGGAGTGTACGTCGACGACCTCATAATCACTGGAGGCGACGGTGGGAGCCCTCGGAAGGTTCAAGAAGGAGATGTCGAAAAACTTCTAGATGAGCGATCTCGGCGTGCTCAGCTACTACCTTGGCATCGAAGTGCAGCAGAACAAGTGCAGCAGAACTCTTCCGGCATCTCCATCTGCCAAAGTGCATACGCGAAGAAGCTGCTGGACACCACTGGGCTTGTGGACAGTAATCCTACCAGAACGCCAATGGAGGCCCGACTCCAACTAAGGAAGGCCGGCACTACGACGACAATCGACTCCACCAATTACCGCAGCATTGTCGAGAGTCTGCGCTATCTGGTAAATTCTCGGGGAGGAGCATCTAGTGGCTGTCAAGCGCATCCTGCGCTATGTAGCCGGAACCAGAGGCTGGGGCGTAAGATACTGCGCAGGGAGCGGAAAGGAGACGTTGATGATCGTAAGAGCACCAGCGGAATGATCTACTTTCTCTCAGGCGGCGCGATCTGCTGGCAATCAACAAAACAGAAGGTAGTTGCTTTGTCTTCCTGCGAAGCAGAATACATCGCCGCTTCGATGGCAGCAACTCAAGGGATCTGGCTTGCACGACTAATGGAAGAACTCATCGGGAGAGAAAGCGATCCACCAATGCTATACGTAGACAACAAAGCTACGATCTCCCTGATCAAAAATCCTGTTTTGCACGACCGGAGCAAGCACATAGAAATCAGATTCCACTACATTCGAGAATGTGCAGATCGAGGGCTCATCATGATTGATTTCATCCGAACAGAGGAACAACTTGGAGACATTTTCACCAAGTCCCTGGCGCGGGTGAAATTTGAAGAACTACGCTCAAAGATCGGAGTTCAAATAATAAGGTACAGCTTTAAGGAGGAGATTGTTAAATAAAAGCCCTGTCTTATTTAGTTAAGTTTGTAAAAACATCTGAGTTCACGCGAATGGAGGAGCGTGATTTTAGGGGCCATTGTTTTGGCAAAGTGTGCGAAGTCTTCGTCCACTTATTCTATTTTTGTATATTTGGTTTTTCTATTTTTGTAATTAGATTTGTTATTTAAACCATTCAACTCAATAAAATATAATATCGAGTCTTCAGCAATCTCAGCGAATCTCTCACTCTCTCTCCTTTTACTTCCGCTAAATTTTCCTTCGAAGAAACCTTCGGCCAATTTTTCGTCATCCGAATTGCCAGAGTCAACATAGACACCTTTTAACTGGGACTACGTCACTAATCCTTCCTCAATGTCGAGTATCTTCAGGGTACTCTTCCACTAAAGTGTATCATGCCTCTAAACATGTAAATGGCACGATCAACTACATATCATATATTTGAAAGACCTTCTCTATAATCTCTAACCACAGTTTTGTTGCGCCTTTGATCCCCTAACTTGATACCACGTGATCGAAGAAGGTCACTACCATAAACTAAACTCGTCACTTCAAGAATTACGACAGGTATGCTCATAACACCATCACAACTCCCCTCAGGTGTTCCTTGTGAACTAACTCCATCTTGGCGTACATTGATATATGGTAAAAGACGACTATGTACACTTCGAGAATTTGGCATCCAAATGTGGCATAGACCCTATAAAGATCTAGAAGATGATCATTGGGTTCTAGCGTTGCAGATCTTCTGGATGACAAATCTCATCTCGGGGTGAACCAACTTTCTGTTCTCATGCTTGATATGCTTACATAGCCCCCTCAATGAACATCGTGTATCGTTGTTCGAGGCACGACCTCATCACATCTCATAGTGGCATCTCGGCTGAACACATCTATGTAAGGTTAACTGGTGACCCTTCCACAAGAAAAATCATACAACCAACATCTAGGGGAGCAACCCCGTGTGTCTGTCTGCTACTCAGTTTACCCATGTGGTCCCCCACCCATCTCAATGCAAGTTTGTAGTACAACGAACATGTTCAAGGGACCCTTGACTATTTCCACACACGATAGTAGCACCTAATTACCTCGACAAGCTACGCTATCCAGCCTAGGCTTGACTTGACGATACCTATATTACTACCATTGGGCAGGGCATTGCTAGCACTAAGGGTGTACTAGAGGAGATAGGAGGTAGAGCCTCTATAAATTCCATCATACAACTATTAGGTCTATTAAGCTTTCTTATTCGTCTTTGCGTGGGCGTCCTCCCAAAATATTTAACATGCATTTTCTAACCACCTAAAGTAATGAATGCTTGCATGCTAGCACGTTTTAGTATTTCCTACAAGTATAACTTGTCTAAAGTTTGTATGGTTACTTATTTGGATAATGTGTGTCTTCCCTAGCTAACTTTTCCGCATATTAGGAACTCCAAAATTTCTAAATGTTTTCTAGTAGGTCATTATCCAAACCAAATTAGGGTCAATATCAAAATTAGAATGAAAAAATAGTCTAACTGGGGTGGAACGAGTTGAAAAACACCTCTCATGCATTGTCACACATCTACTCGCACTAGATCCTGTTGCGTTTTTCCTCCCATTGATCAACACGTATCTTCTCACAGCAAGTCGTGCTCCTCCTCTCTTTGCTCGACGCGTGTCAACTTCCCTTCACACCTGCATCAACGAGTTTTAAAATTTTTCAGGTTTCGTATTCTTTACCATTTTTTTTTTTTAGTTTTCATAACTTTCTTTACATAATTCAAATGAACTTAATTCCTTCACCAAAATATTTTGATCTTAATCCATTTTTACAAAAATATTTTTCTCATAATTTTTAATCCAACTACAAAATGAAATAAACACGTCCAAAATGGTCCAAAATACCAAAACTTATAAAACTTATATTTTGATGATGGTGGAAACGTAGTCTTCTGGATCTTGTGTGAAACTCCTCCATAACATACTAAAAAATCAGAAACTAATTCTTATCTTTGGTTCTTCCTTCATTCTTGACGTAATTGACGTAATTGAGTGAGTCAAAAGTCCTTTCTTCCTCCCAATGATCTGATTATGGTACTATAATACCTCTAATTTGACCAATTTTCTCAAATTTTTAATATTTCCTTTTAAAGTTGGGTTGAGTTACTAGAATTTTTTTAAATATTTGTCTCTTCTCCCTCATTTTTCTAATCATACCTCATGTATTATGTTTTGTTGAGTTACTGGATCCAAAATCCTTCGACTTCTCGTCCCTTTTAGAATATTCTTGTAGGATTTCCACCAACATTAAAGTATTGAATACATGGTCGGTGTGTATGAAATTAATATTACTTACATAAAATCAATGTGTATCGGATGATACTCACGAATTATGAAGTTGGTATGAGCCTTGTGGATTCTATGTACAAAGGTGGTACATGTGAAATTATGTGTTTAAAATTGATACACAAGGTCATTGTTTTTGGTACGCATGAAATTATGTGTATGAAATTGATGCACATCCCAAATATATAAAAGAACTAGAATTCAAAGTCACGACTTTAGGTCCCACTATTAATGAAAGACATGTTTACAGATCTATGTCGTCGGCTAGAGTTGCAGACAATTAAATATGCGTGCATGAGCGACGTGTGTGGTTAAATAAGCTTAGATTTCGCACGAGTTGTGTTCAGTTAGTGAAGGCGAACCTTGCCTAAAGTTTGAAGGAGCCACAAAGTCGGGAAAAAAATGTGAATAGGACTTAAGTTCCTCTTAAGGCTTGTCATGAGTGTATCGAGATCATGACTCCGCATGATTGAAGATGTACAATTGTAACACATGGCATATCATGTCGAGGTATTATGACATGAGGTATTATGCATCACAAGAAATAGAATGGATCACAATAAAATCCTAACACAACAACATAAATATCTCAGTCTAACTTGCAATATAACATACCCTAATATACATGTTAAATAATCATAAAATACAACATATACAGGTTCCAGAGCACGTGTGGTTCATACTTCATTCAATTCATCCAACTAAGTCAATAATGAAGCGATTAGGCTGAGCTTGTGCACGTGTCTAGAGACGAATGGGTCTCAGGTTGGTGCGAGGGTTGCTAGTGTATCATGGGCCGGTCCTCCATTGGGCCATGGAGGGCCTATGTCTGCAAGACCTATGCGCACGTTGGAAGCCTCTGCCCACGGGTTGGGGTGGACTGGGTCGCACATTGGATTGGTTGTGGATTTGGGTTGGCTGCGTATGGATGCTAGACGCAGGCCGAAGATATGTATGGGTCATGGAAACTTTGACTCCAACTCTGCAATTTGGGCAACCCATCCGTCGAGGCTGAGGTTCGGATTCTGAACCTACGGTGAGTTATAATCAGGTTTTTTTTTTTTTTTTTTTTGTTACAGAATTTAAATCAAAACAAGTACAAATATCAAAGTTTAATTCTAAATAGAAGTGTACGAAGATTCACAATCACCATATGTTTAGACTTATAGCTTGATTTAATAATTTTAACGGATAATTACATGAAGGACATTGTCAACTATTGACACGGGATACACATTCTTTTCTAGTGTAACATAAGAGACAACTAATGAACTAGATATAACATATATAATAACCAAGAGTGTTGTCTACAAGTTCAGTTAGATTGGTTGGTGACACCAGAGAAATTTGGTAGAATTCTTTGGATGAAGAGATCTTTGTATAACTACGAAGGAATGTTTAATTGATTTTCTGCCACTTCCACCAATGCCAATATATATATGTATTTACTAATTCTTCTGCAGAAATTAGTTTAGGACTTCATTTCATTTTCTTGAACTATCTTGGATTCTGCACATCCCCATCTTTCTTTTAACCTTCTCAAATAATGGTTGTTTCAAGGGCTTTGTGAATAGGTCTGCGATTTGTTCATCACTTCGACAAAAATTGAGTTCAATATTGTCTTCTTTACACAAATCACACAAGAAATGAAAACGAACATCGATGTGCTTACTCCTTCCATGCAACATAGGATTTTTAGACAACTTAATAGTTGACATATTATCACAATATATAACCATCGTACTTGGTTGCTTCTGATTAAGAATTTCAAGCATCTTTCTTAACCAAATTGCTTGGCACGAGCATGCTGCTGCCGCCACAATCTCTGCTTTTGTAGTTGAGAGTGTTACAATAGGTTGCTTCTTTGAAGACCAGCAAATAGCTCCTAAACTTATCATGAAAATACTTCATGAAGTACTTTTACGATCATCTATATTACGTGGATAGTCGCTATCTGTATAGGCAACCATCTTCGAATCATCTCCTTTCTTGTAGAATACCCCCAAATCAAAAGTTCCTCGCACATAACGAAGTATCCTTCTTGCTGCATTAAGATGTTTTTGATGGTGTTAATATAACACATGCGGAAGCAATTTGGATCTTAGGCACTTTTAGAACATCAATTATTGTAAATCACTAGCATGTTCATAAGTATTAAAACTTAATGAGTTTAAATACTAACCTTTTGTAGTTCAAACTCCTTTTGCCTCACGAACCGGTTTCGAACCACCACTAGTGTCTTCTCCACTATCCTCCGGCCTTAGAACGGGATTGTGGAATCCGGTGAGTGACTAAACTTGGGAGGGATTTTGTATTTGTGAAAGAGAGTGTTTGTGAGAAGTTTTTCTCAAGGTTTTTCATCAAGATGAAGAATCCCCTCCAAGTATCATGATCACTCTATTTAAAGAGTCAAGTTTGCATGTTCATGCAAACTTGAGATCACCAAATTTTGACACTTAAAATTCCACTCAAGAGTTTGGGATTATGTGGCAAGCATGCATGTTTGAGTTAACCAAATTTTGACACCCAAAATTCCACTCAAACTTGTGGGGTTTATTTGGCAAACATGCAAGTTTGGTTAAACCAAATTTTGACACCTCAAAATTCCACTAACATGGATTTTTCCATTAGATGAAAGTCAACATTTTGACTTTCTTCATTTTAATTCAACAATTAATTTGAATAATGAATTTCAAATTAAAGTAACATTAAATGATTAATTAAACTATTTAATTAATATTTAATATTAATTCAAATGCCAATCCCAATCAATTCCGACACATAATTGATTAAGATATTTAAATCTTATTTAAATATCTCACATTCTCTCTTTTCGTTTAATTCGTAAATAAAACAAAATTGCGGTTAAATATATCATATATATGTAACGCATATTCCCTAATTTGAATTCGAACACTTCGAACTCACTCGTCACATTGTTCTATGGTTTAGTCCGATATGAGCTAGCAGAGGGACCTAATGGACCTATAGATCATGGGCTCCAACGATCCAAGATTAACTGATTAAACTCATTAACCTGGTTAACCAACATTCGTTAACTACTAGGACACTCCACTATAGCCTAGTAGTTGCACTCCCCTCACTATAGATATATTTCTGTCCATCTGATATAACCATGATTAGTAAGTCGATCCTTCACAGGTTGTTCGTAACTAGAGCTGAGTCAATTTACCGTTTTACCCCTGAAGTTACTTCTTGTTCCTTATGTCTCACTGATCCTCTAATGAACAATTGGTTTGTGGTCCAACCAGTAAACCAAATCTCTCTCAGGCCAATGAGAGGGTGGGGCCCCTTGTTCAAGACCTGGAGTCAGTGCTTAAGGGAACTACCTTTCTTCTATCCCTAAGTGGGTAGGAGTGAATTCCGTCTTGCACCCCACATCCCCAGCCATTCACCCAGTCTTACCCCTGAAATGGGAGGCCTGTTGAGTCGGCGAACTAGAGCCACTCTCACCCATGCAAATCTAAGGATAATTCCGAATAAACAGGAGTTCATGGTTAGCTCAGGATTAAAACCGAGTTACCTAGGTTATCGAATGAAAAGAAAATCAGTCTCAACAGTAAACGACTTTATAAAGTGAGAGTGGTTTTCTTCATGGTCCGATCTTATGCAATACTCATTGCATAGGACGCCCCCACTCACATGTCTCCACATGCACAATTTAGTGATCACATTGTTTATATCATATACAAAAGTGGGCCGCATCCATAGTGTCCCCAGAATAAGGTACTCAGCCTTATCCTTATACTATAGATCATTTTGACTATATACTTGAACTTGATCCACTCTTATGTCTCTACATATAGTTCAAGTAATCATACTATAGCCAGAGTGTTCTTAGTTTATTGGATTTAGATTAATGATCGTAAAGTTCACTTTATTCAATAACAATTTTTTCTGAATAAACATCAATAATAACTTTATTGAAAATAGAATATATCTTTGTTTACAAACTATGAGTTTTAGGACATAAAACCCAACAGTTTTTCCATTGGATGCTTCATGTAGCAACTTATCATACTAACCGCATACATGATGTCTAGTCTTGTTGAAGTTAAGTACATCAAACTTCCCACAATTTGCTTGAAGTACCTATTATCAACCTCTCGCCCTTCAATATCCTTGTGCAACTTCAAACCTAATTCTGATGGAGTTTCAAATGTGCACTCATCCATTTTAAATCTTTCAAGTAACTCTTGAGCATATTTCTTTGACAAAGCTACCAGCAGCAATTTGAGTAACTTCTACTCCAAGAAAATATCTCATCAAACCAAGATCTATCATTTCAAATTCTTTCATCATGCTCTTCTTAAAAAATTCAAACATTTCTTCATTATTGTCAGTAATATTAAATCATCAACATATAAAAAAATAATGAGAATGTTACCTCCCTTTTCCGTTTTCACATAGTATGTTCATGTGGGCATTTAGTGAATCCCATCTTTTCAAAATGAGAATCCATGCGACTGTACCATGCTCTTGGAGCTTGCTTCAAACCGTATAGAGCTTTCTTCAACCTATACACTTTTTCCCCCTTTACCTTTTTGAACAAAACCTTCTAGTTGCTCCACATATACCTCTTCTTGAAGCTCTCCATATAAGAAGACCGATTTCACATCAAGTTGATAAATAGACCGTGATTTCTGTGCTGCAATAGAAATTATAAGCCTTATAGTATCTTAATGTGCTACTGGTGCAAATACCTCCTTAATACTTCTGCTTGTATCCTTTTGCAACTAGACATGTCTTGTACTTATCCACCTCACCATTTTCATTCAACTTGGTTTTGAAATTTCATTTTACTCCCATTGTTTTCTGCCTTTTAGAAAGATCAATGAGCTCCCAAGTCTTATTCTTCTCTATGGATTTGATTTCACTGTCCATGGCTTGACTCCATTTCTTCTCCTTTCTTCTCCATAGACAATTGGATCACTATCCATAAAGAATGCAAAATACGCACTATCACTTGAGTCATAGTCCATCTCATAATCAATCATCCAAGTTGGTCTCCTTGTTCTTGGATTTCTTTGACTGTGATCATGATCTTCCTCTTCTACTGAATCTTCTTGTTGAGCTTGTGATGAGCTCTCTCCATACTCATAGTGAGGCTGAATAGGGGCCCATCTCATAATCAATCATCCAAGTTGGTCTCCTTGTTCTTGGATTTCTTTGACTGTGATCATGATCTTCCTCTTCTACTGAATCTTCTTGTTGAGCTTGTGATGAGCTCTCTCCATACTCATAGTGAGGCTGAATAGGGGCCCATCTCATAATCAATCATCCAAGTTGGTCTCCTTGTTCTTGGATTTCTTTGACTGTGATCATGATCTTCCTCTTCTACTGAATCTTCTTGTTGAGCTTGTGATGAGCTCTCTCCATACTCATAGTGAGGCTGAATAGGGGCCCATCTCATAATCAATCATCCAAGTTGGTCTCCTTGTTCTTGGATTTCTTTGACTGTGATCATGATCTTCCTCTTCTACTGAATCTTCTTGTTGAGCTTGTGATGAGCTCTCTCCATACTCATAGTGAGGCTGAATAGGGGCTTCAGCTGGTTCTTTAAGATCTACAGGAATCTGCTGATTCACAGTGATCTTTTCTTCCCATGTCCAAGTCTTCTTTTCGTCAAAGATTACATCGCGACTTACCACCACCTTCTTTGTCAAACGATCATAGAGCTTGTACGCCTTAGAAGTCTCGCTTACTCCAAGGAACACACATTTCAAACTCTTGTCTTCAAGTTTCTTCCTTTTCTCGTCAGGAACGTGTGCATATGCTATGCACCAAAAGATTCTAAAGTGGTCTGCTGCAGGCTTCCTTCTACTCCATGCTTCTTGTGGAGTCATATCTCTAACAGAAAAAGTAGGATTCCGGTTGAGAATGTGAATGGACGACACAACAGCTTTTGACCAGAATTCCTTCAAAACTTCTCCTTTATTTAGCAAACTTCGAACATGTTGAGAATGGTTCTGTTCTTTCTTTCGGCCACACCATTTTGTTGTGGTGTATATGCTACTGTCAACTGCCTCCTTATGCCTTTTTCTTCACAATACTTAATAAACTTGTCGAGCAGAACTCTCCACCTCTATCAGTTCTTAAAGCCTTAACTCTTCTTCCAATTTTCGTCTTCATAATAGAACAAAAATTCTTGAAGCAATCAAAGGCTTCTGATTTGGCGTGCAAGAAATAAGTTCATGTTTTTCTACTAAAATCATCGATGAGGGTCATGAAATATTTCTTGTTACCCTTTGATGTTGGAGAGATCGGACCACATATGTCTGAATGAATCAACTCCAAAATTGCTCGAGCTCTTCTTGATTTTTCGGATGGAAAAGAATTTCTTTTATGCTTTGCTACTACACAGCTCTCGCAAATTTCTGTTGGAGGAGTGATGTCTAGCAACCCAATCACCATCTTCTTTGAAGACAACGTCTTTAACCCTTTAAAGTGTAGATGATCATACCTAAAATGACAAAGTCAGTTGGTATCTTCTTTCTTCACCATCAAACTTCTGCCTACGATGTTTAACGTTAATGGATATAAGCGGTTGGTGGTCATCTACATCTTAGCAATCGATCCTCTTCTGGAGTCATAAATCTCACATTCATTATTTTGGAATGTGATCACATACCCCTTTTCTTGCAATTGACCGATACTATGCAAGTTGGCCTTCAAATTGGGAATGTAAAACACATTAGAAATTGACTCTACAAAGCCATTTCTAGTCTTGATATCTATAGTTTCTTTCCTCATCACTTGGACGGTTGCATTGTTGCCAAGACAAACAATAGTACAAAAATTTTCATTCAGAGCTGAGAAGAATTCCTTACAACCTGTCATATGGTTGCTACATCTAGAGTCTACGGCCCACACACCTTGATCTGCAACCTTTATAGCATGAAATAACGTTAACAATGTTTCTTCTTCTCTTTTCTCCACAAAGTCGGATTGATCTCTTTTCTCCTTTTGGAGCCTGGTATAACATTCATTCTTGTAATGTCCAAGGTGTCCACATCTGCGGAATTCCACCTTAGACTTGTCAAAATGTCTCTTGCCTTTATTATCATAATTGTCTCTCACTAGATCTGTTGACCTGCCAACATCTCCACTTCTTTCTCGACCACCTCTTCCACGACCTCTGCCTCTTCTTTGCCCTCTACCTCTGGAGCTTGAAGTTTCACCTGGTGTGGATATCTTTATGGCTGTTATCTTCTCTATTGTACTCGTGCAATTAAGCTTTTGCTCATGGACTAGCAAGGAGCTTTAAAGTTCATCTATTTACATCTCTTCGACATTGTTTTCTTCTTCAATAGAACACACAATGTAATCAAACTTTGGAGTTAAAGATCGCAAAATCTTTTCTACAACCGCAACATCCATGATTAAATCACCATGCATCCTCATTTTACTTGCAAGACTCATAATCTTGCCAATATAATCATTCGCTGTTTCTCCTTTTTGCATTTGGAAAATTTCAAAGTCTTTTCTAATGGCTTGAAGTTGTGCACGCTTTACTCTCGTTGAGCCTTGATACTTCCTCCTCATTGAATCCCAAATCTCCTTGGACGTCTTCTTCTGAAGCATTGTTTTAAAGATAGTCTGATCAATGGACTGGAATAAGTAGTTCTTGACCTTCAGGTCCTTCAACTTCGATGCTGCCAACCGTTGCTATTAAACAGCTAAGAGTACCTCACCTTCATTTGGCTCTACGTAACCCGTCTCCACCATATCAAAGAACTCCTTTGATCTGAGAAAATTTTCCATCAACATCGCCCAATAATCATAGTGACCATCGAATCTCGGGATGGCGGGCAGAACGTAGTTATCAACTTGTCTTTCTACTTCCACTCTTGCTGCTGCAAGATCGCTCTGATACCAGTTGTTGGTGATAACAGAGAAATTTGGTAGATTTTTTTTTTTTTGGAGAAGAGAACTTTGTATAACTATAAGAATGCTTAATTAATTTTCTACTACTTCCACCATTGCCAACATACATACATACATTATATATATATATAGGTAATTTGGGACATTCCCCAGTATCATTCATTATCCAAAAGTCATGCATCTAATTAATTAGGAACTAATGAACCTACATGTATCTATTCATACATGTCCTTATACATGTATCTGTACATGTACAATTGACTCTTGAACACATGAATCTATTCATACATATACTAGTGACCCTAAACAATATTGGATTGAAAAAGTCTTTTGGACAAACTTGGAGCAATCTCAATAGAGCTCCCCAACTCAACTCTCTATTTTTGGGTTGAGTTGTTGAGTTATTTATTTTTTAAAAATTATTAAGTTACCAACTCAAATATTTTTAATATTGATAATATAGGTTGAGTTGGGTTGTAACCCTATTTTTGGGAGTCATATTGACCCAACCCAAAAAATGTCAACGGGAATGTACCCAAATTTTTTGTTTTCCAAAAATCAATCTAATCCAAATCGAGAAAAAAAAAAGAAAAAAAAAACTTGAATGTTGAGATGGCTAATTCACGGTTCACAGTTCATATCTATCATATCTCTCTTTTTTTTGTGTTTAATATGTTATGAGATATCATTCTATGTACGTGAATTTCAAATTTAGTCGAGAGTAAATTATATTAAAAAAATTTGAGAAAAAATTTTGAGAAAAAAAGTTATACCTTATATAGTAATAAACAAGAAATATAATAAAATTTATATAACGGAAAATAAAATTAAGCTATAAATATTATATTACAGCATTAAAAAAAATGTTATTATAGATTAAAGATATTACAATATTTTAGTTATATTAAACATATTATAGCTTTAATAAAACACTATAAAATGTTTTCATACCAACATATATAAGCTATAGTTTCATATTCTATTATAGCATCCATTATAGCTATAAAAAAACATTATAAAAAGTCTCAGACTTTTAATAACATGGATTGTCACAGCGTACGAAAAACGCTATAAAAAGTTTGTAATAGCTTTTTTTCCGTAAGTTTTCGTATCCATTATTTCTAGTAGTGTGTGCATGTGATTGCTATGTGAATTCAATGATTATTATGCATCATGTAAATGTATTAGGTAGAACTTGACTACGAGACCTCACACCTGCCTTAAATGAAATTGTGGCAATTTAATTGTACCACCAAAGGCACATGTTAGTTATCTCTTGTATTGATTCTTAGTCATAGGCTAGTTGGCCGAGTTTTAGTTTCCTGGACCACAACCAAGGTGGTCATAGTACTAGTCGATCATGCAAACTCGAGATATTTGCTTATGGATCAGCTTTCAGTTTCTTAATGAATTTAGATGGATCGTTTTCTTGAAACGTATTTAAAGGAGTACCCTATACAAATCATATTAACTGGAGTTTGTAGCTTATTGTTTTTTCGCTTTTCTGCTTTGGAAATGATGTCAAGATGCCTTCGATAATGATCTCATATCGAATTTGGGCCGTAGAAAGTAGGTTGTTGCGACAGTATAGTTACCATATATATATATATATTTTTCAATAAAAAAAAAACTAAAAAAACCATACAAAATTCTAAAACCAAAGACAAACAAAAAAAAAACATGTTTTTAAATTTGTCTTTTATGTTTTAAAAGTAGCTACTTAATTTTTAAATATCAAAGTTATAGAACAAAATAATTTGTTAAAGAAAAGGCGGAAAAAAAAATAAAAATAAAAATAAAAGTAACTTTTTTCTTTTGGATTCCATTGGGCAATAGGTATAAGAGACACTGAGGATTCCAAGAAAGAGCACATACTATATAAAACTCTCTCCCCTCAAACGACGTGAAATTAAAATTAAATTAAATTTAAAAAAAAACATTTTTTAAAAATCGATAATTTAAAAAATTTAACAACTCTAACTAAATTCGATCTATATTAAAATGTAAGAACAGAATTAATTTTAAAATAAATATATTATTTTATTTTTATTTTTTATTTTTTATTTTTTTTATCTTCTCTAACAAACTAGGACACAGAAATTCTCGTCTTTTAAATTGTAGTGCAGAGAGAAGTGCCATCGCTCGCGCTCTCTCTCTTCACTTCCATAGTCCTTTTCTCTCTCATCCATCACTGTCACCTTTTTCCTCTCTTCCAGTATATATTTCTCTTGCAGTTCGTCCTACAAAGCGCACACACGCATACACAGATTTCAGTTCTTCAGGCTTCTGAGACCACAGCAATGTCGGCCATTAAGGACGAAGATCCTCGCATCAATGGAATCCGAACTAACATCCGCGTCGTTCCCGATTTTCCGAAGCCAGGTTTAATTTCTTCTACTTTTTGTTTGTTTTTCCTCTTCTTCTCTCGATTTTTGAGGTTTTTGATCAGCTATTTATTACCGATTTAGGTATCATGTTCCAGGATATTACCACTCTGTTGCTTGAACCGAAGGTCTTCAAGGATGCGATTGACATGTTCGTGGAGCGATACAAGGGGAAAAATATCACCGTCGTTGCAGGTAACGAAAATAAACACAGATTCTCTCTTCCTACTCGTTTTTGCTGCAATTTCTTTTCGCGATTAGGAGTTTAGGATTTAGAAGCGGTGTTCGTCATAATCCGTGCCGATTGTTTGAGGTTTTTTTTTTTTTTTTTTTTTTT